GCAAAATCAAGATTACATCAATAAATTGGTAAAATACTATAGAACATCAAATAATGTTAAGAGTATCTACTAGATTAGTCTCACATAATTTATGATGAAAAAAGCCATCTTGATTTGCAGAGAGCATTTTATAATTGTTTGATATCAAATTATAATCACCTTTACTGTAACTAAACGACTAAAATTCACTTTCGACAAAAAGGTATTGAAACTAAAATTCCTCAAGTGATACTAAAGCGGCCCTAAGTATTATTACCTAATATAGAATTAGGAAACAATTTTAAAATAGAACTATTGCTATAGGTAAATTTCAACAAATGGTTTGAGCAAATATAGGGTATCTGGACTTAAAAAATGTGATATGTTAAAATTACCGACAATGAAGCAGCCATCACAGGGCTTCCTAATTAAGCTATGAGCTAATTTGCTAATTTGAAGGATTTAGCGATACATTATATTAAATTAGCATTATTTGGTATAACCAACTATGTATAACCTAGATAAGTATGTGTTTATTGTTAACTTTTACAATTACCAAAACTTGTTTAAGAAAAGTTTTATAGATCTAATTAACTTCATAAGAGATAAAAACATAAGTAATAGAAGATAGCCACACAGCCACCTCAACGTTCGTCTTAGCAATCGTTTTTTTTAAACAAGTTATTTTTTTAATATAAGTAACAGTTTTAAATTGGTATCCGGCTGCTTTAGCGTCATAAACTTTTCTTGCTAGCATTCCCTACACATTCTCAATTGGATTTAAGTCTGGGCTACAAGCTGGCCATTCGAGAAACATGATGTTGCGGTCTTTAAACCATTTCATTGAATGCCTAGATGTGTGAATTGCAGCATTATCTTGCTGAAATATGGCATTATCGTCCATGTTTTCATCCATATAAGTTATAAGTACATCATCCAACATTTCTGTATACTTTATCAAGTTCATTTTAGTTAAACCACAACACAGAGTCAATTTTCCTGAATAAGAAAATCCACCCCAAACCATTAAACTTCCTCCACTATAATTTAGTTTTGTTTGTGGGTCATTTATTCCTCTTAGATCATGCCAATAACAACTGTAAGAGTCCGGACCATCTAAATTGAACTTTTTTTCATCTGAAAATATTACGTTTTGCCACTCATGAGTCCAATGCATATGGTTTTTAGCAAACTGTAATCTAGCAATTTTATGGTGTTTTTTTAACATTGGTTTTTGGTGTGGTTTCTTCCACTTTACGTTTGGTGTTGTACGCAGAATATGTGCAACATGTTAATTGGTGACAGGCAAATAATAATTTATCCTTTATTTGTGTCGCATTCAATTTATTTTTGGTTGCTTCGAAGCGATTTCGATTAATTTGCCGATTTGTTAATACTTTGTTGCTGTTTGTTGCTTTTTTACACCGTAAATGTCACCTTTTGCCATGTAGTTTCGTACAACATGGTCAGTTCTTCTAACGATTCACTTTTTCTTCCTGACAAGGTCCAAAAACGCATTGCAAATGTTGTTGAACCAGGACTATCTGCTAAGCTTGAGCCTCTTTCCCATCGTCGTAAAGTTGCATCTCTTTCTCTTTTCTACAAATACTATCATGGTCACTACTCAAAGGAGTTATAATCTCTAGTTCCATCAACTAAAATTCATTCTCATTTTACTCGTCATTCAGCTAAGTCTCATTCGTTTACTGTATCTGTTCCTGCATGCTCTAAAAACTTTTATTCATCTAGTTTTTTTCCCCGCACTTCAATCCTTTAGAACTCTCTCCCATCTTCATGTTTTCCTGACTCATACAACCTTCAACTTTTCAAGTCTTCTGTCAACTGTTTCCTTGTCCTATAACTTTGTTCTTTTTTTTCCTAGTAACTTCCAACTTAATAGTGGTTGCTTGCAGCCTTGTTGAGAGTGAATGCAAATAAAAAAAAAAAAAAAAAAAGATCTTTCAATTTTTCTTGCTCTTTCTCGTATAGAAAGTGCTGGTGAGATTTCTGAGCCACGATATAAATTAACTTGTATTTTTTCAGCATCTGTCAAATATTTTCATTTAGGCATTTTGTAAAATGCAATAAAAACGATACTGGCAGAGCAAAAGATCAAATTACACTAAAATTTATCAATTTATTTGTGTAAAAGTGATTAAAAACCAATTATTACCGTTATTAACCTGATTGCGTCTATAGATATATTCCAATTAAAAAATGTACTTTTATATATCAAACATACTCTCATGTTAATAAAGACACATAGAAAAATTTTTTTTGTGGTTTTAACAACACAACAATTACTTTAATAATAACTTGCATGTATATCAGTTGACAACTCATAGAAAAAAATTAGGATCAAGAAAAAAAAAATTGATGTGTCTAAACAAATATGCCTCAGTGTATGTATATATTTATTATATATTTTTGTTTTAGCCTTATTACATATACAAGAACTATTAGATTTTATGTTATATAAACAAAATTTTCAAAAAAAAGCTTTTTCTTCAAAATCAGTTAATTTTTTTAAATTGCAAGAGCATTTTTATAAAAACTCACACAAATTATTTATATTTAAAAATGTTACGATTTTTGTTTATGAAATTCAAAAATTTTAAAAACAAATAATCGCTCTAAATTAACAAAAATTTTATCAATATGAACATTTTTCCATAATTTAAAATTGAACACAATTATTTCTCATAATGATCATTGGCTAAGTTAAATAATTTAATCTATATAATGACTGATGTAAAAAGCGATTTAAGTGACGTAACAATCAATAATTTTTTCCAATATCGATTTTGTTTTGACGCTCAAGTTAGAAGCGATTGCATTTTATTATGCAAAATACTAATATATAATTGCTTGAAGTTCAACAGTTTGAATCAGAGATTTGTTAAAGAACCTAACTTGTGGAATAAAAAGTAAAGCAAATAAATTTCATTTGTGAATCATTTTCAAAATATAGTAAAAAAAAAAAAATTCAAAAAAAAGGCCCTTCTAGGATAAATAGCGATAGGCCCAAGCGGGATTTCTGCATAGCCTCTGGGGCCAGCACGCCACTGTATATATATATATATATATATATATATATATATATATATATATATATATATATATATATATATATATATATATATATATATATATATATATATATATATATATATATATATATATATATATATATCAACCTTTGAATTTAGGGTTGGCAGTTAGGTCGGCATTCAGCAATGCCGAATGCTGACCTAACTGCTGTATAAGGTCATTATTATGCCGATGAGGTCTATTATATTAAAGAAAATTCAAAGAGATTTATAAAACTCAAAAATTCAAAACTTAAAAAAAATTTAGCCACCTATTAATATATAACAGGGCTCAAATTAACGCTAAAAGATCTAATCACGAAAAAAAAAAAAAAAAATTTCCTCCTGCACCCACCTCCCTCATATCTTGAGCCGCTTTGCAGTAAATTTGTTTAACATAATATTTCTCATATTTAAATATTATCTTATAATTTCTCGTTTGGCGGAGTTTAACATAGCGTAAGTTAGTGTTAGAATTTACATCTTAATTTATAATTTAAAGTTTAAGTTGCAGTTACAGTGTAACGAGCAAGTAACGTATTTAATACTTTCAAGATATTATTTTTAGTAATTGTTTTTACCTAACATTATACTTAAAAAGTAAAAGTTGAAAACTTAGAGTACAAAGCAAACATTACAATATTTAAACCACTTTATTTAGTCATAGAAAACAATTAAATACGCTCATGCTGACGATAAAACATGTGTTATTTTTAAAGAATATTTAACTGTTATTGTAAAAAGCTATAAAATTACAACAAAGCAAATTGCAAAGTTGTTTTAAAAATAAGCTTGTGTAAAACGACTGTAAAACAACTTTGTGACGCTGTTTTGTTGCTGTTGATGATACAGTTTAAAACCATAAAATAAAACGCATTTAAAATTAAAACGAAGCTAATAAATGAAATTGTTCTAATTAATAAATTACAAACATATTGTGATAAAATTTAATATTTGTGCAAAAACATGCCTATAGACCATACTAGTCGATAATCTATAGACCATACAAGTAAGATCAAAGAAAAAAATATTAGATACAACATTTTTTATAATTTATTGTTTCTTGATCTAGAGGACTAATAAAAGTTAAAGAATGGTTTTTTTCCAAAAGAATGGTTTTTTTCCAAAAGTTAAAGAATTGATGTTTTCATTCAATTTGTTTATTCAAACTGTTTTCCAATAAAAAGTGAAACAAAAAAATTAATAAATCAAATCAAATTTTCTTTAGTTTAAGAATATGCTTAGAAACATTGAAGCAAAAAAGTTATATATTTTAAAATACTTAAAGTAGTAAAGTTAATAATATAAAATTTTTTATGAAACAATAATTTAAATTATTAATAATAAGTTAATTTAATGCAACGTTTTGAAAAACAAAGAAAAATCAGGCTGTTTTGTTAAAAAAAAAGAATAAAGAAAAAATTTACTTTAACGTCCTTTATCAACTTTTCGCTTTAAAACCTTTTAAAAATTATTTATTTATTATTGCTTCCACCCCGAGATTTAAAGTAATTTAAATTCTAAAGTGTTTTACATTAAATGAAAATCTCAGCGAGAAAGAGCAAATGATCATCTATTCAGAAGATAAGTTTAGCGAGACGTACTTTATGAAAAAAAAATTACTTTTAAGAATTGCCAAAAAATATGCTCAACTAAAAAAAAAAGTAAATAGCCCAAAAAAAAAAATTGCAAAAATATTTTTTTTTAAAGAAAAAACTAATCGCGAAGGTGTGAAAAGTAATTGCAATTCGCGATACGCTTAATTTGAGCCTTGTATAAATATAAATAATTTTAAAACTATTTATATTTAAACTTTATAGAAAAAATTAGTTTAAAAAAATTTTGACTCTGAATTCTTTAAAAAACAAGGAAAAATCTGAACTTTTTTTCTTAACTACTTTTACTTTTTTTAAACAAAAATAACAAAAATACCAAATTAGGTAGCCATGGATCCTGATCATTTTTATCATCAAACCACAAACTTGACTCATTATTTGATTGTGAATCAGCCACACTTTTTTTATTTAAATCAGTACTTCCACCACCAAATTGTCCAAAAAAATTTTTTGTACTCATCTCATTTAGCAAGTCCAAAATTGAATTGTAAGAAAGTTACGTGTTTAAGATTAATATTTATCTTACTTACAAAACCCTGATCATCAATACAGCAACTATTTTAAATTAAAAATAACACTTACTATTAATATATCAAGAAATTATTTTTTCAAAAAGCTAAATGCATTAATATAAAATTGTATATTAGTTCGTAATTATTATTATTTTTTAACATATTATCTCTCATAGTTAAATATTAGCATATAATTTTCTCATTTGGCGGAGTTAAAAATAGCACAAGTCATAAATTACAACTAAAGTCATAAATCTGTTATAGATTACAACTAAAGTTATAATTCACTAGTCAATTCTAGGTCGTTAAGGTTGAAATTTTGATTATTTCAAAAAATTTCATAACAAGATGTTCAGGACTATTTTACAGACAATATTATGAAAAGAACAAATTGTTTGATGTACGTCCTAATGAGATAAAATAATTTTTTAAAAGGGTCAGAGCAACTCTTTCCTCATCCCCTTGCCCCCTTTATTAATTGAAAAAAAAAAATTATACCATTTTAAAAAAAATCAAACTTCAGATAAATATTCAAAAATTCAATAAAAAATATTATGGCATTCAAAAGATATGACTATTTAAAGTAAAATTATAAAAAATTAAGTTCACTTTACACTAAAATATAGTGTAATATTCAATATATAATATAATTGTATAATATTGTATTTTAAATATAAAATTATATTTTATAATATAATCTGTAAAATGGTATAATATAGATGGTGTTTCATCTTGTAGGTCAAACAAATACGTATTAGTATAAGGAGCTCTAATGTAAGGCAAGTTACTTATAAATGTAAATGTGGTTTCAATAGATAAACAATTTTAAAGTTTATTATTTTGATTAAATTTATGTATAATTTAATTCTCTTTCTTTTGATGCAATTAATTTTTTTTTCACTCAATATTAAATAACTTGTTTTCTAAACACTGTCAAACAAGGTTTTAACCTTAGCAACTTTAGTAAATTGTCAATAATATAATCCGAATTAACTCCAAACTTAAATCCGAAAACAATAAATACAACTATTTGTGTTAAAATTTTAAAAACCTTGTTATGTATTCTAGGACATTTTATAAACTTTTTGTTTTAAATTAACTTACACAACTCATATGCAGTAAACATAGTTTGTTTGTTCAAGTATGCTAATTAAATTATTTTAACTTTTTTAATGTCTCTGTATATGTAAATAAAATGCTGATTTGTTTATTCTATATTCTATTTATATTAGCTTAAAAGTGTTTAATATTTTTGAACAATAATACAATACAAATGAGCAAAACCACTAACTTAAAAGAATGTGCGATAGTAGAGACAATCATGCAAAAAAACGTACAAAAAAATTGTAGAAGATCTAAATGATTACAATTTTACTATAAACTAAAACACTATAATCTTTAAATTCATGAAAATTTGTGTTTAACTTAGCTGACATTCCAGAATGTTTTTCATAAAACATAGACTTTTTATTTACATTTTAACTCCTCGCATGGTTGTTGTTCATAATTTAAACTTCAAAGTTAAAAGCTGTATTTAAAAGTAGCTGCTCTTTACATCAAATCCTGCAGCAAAGAAAATTATATGCAATTGACAAAAGTTTGATATGAAGGAGTTTTTTGGCTTTCAGATAAGGACGTTTACGTATAGTACAAGTATGTTGTATGTAAAAAGCGACAACTATCTTTACCTTTAAGAATTATGTTATTTTATGTACTATTTACAATTTTTATACATTTTTTGTAATCAACAAAAACTCCCTTGGGATAATTATGTACAAAAATAAATATAAAGAAAAATAACGACATATTTACACTAAGGACTTGTAACTTTAACTTTTTAACTTTTTTACTAAAAGTTTAAGATAAGGGAAATTCCTAAAATCAGTCAAGAAAGGTTTAGTTGATTCAAGTCAGCTGAAGAAGAAGATTCTAGTATTCGAAAAGGAATTTGAGTTTTTGTGACATTAGTTATTTTTGCATTTTCTCAAATCATAGTTTTTCAATAAGCACACTTTAAAAATATGCTCAAATTTACAAAAAAATTAGCGAATTTAAAAGAGTATATAATCCACATTTTTTAGGATTGTTTAATTGTGTACAGTATATTTTCATTATTAATTTAAAAAATCTGTTTCAAAAACTCAACAAAAGTGTTGTTTTTTCTTCCTTTTTTATAGGAGCAATTAAAATAAGTCTATAAGATATCAAGATAGGGGATGATAAACCCCACAAACTTAAAATTAGTAATAAATGTCAATGAGATTCTCCACAAAAAAGGTTCAGCAAATTGTCAAATAATTTCCAAATCCATAATATTATAAATATTTTTTTTTATATTGGCTGCTACATATTACATTTGAAATATATATATATATTTATATATATATATATATATATATATATATATATATATATATATATATATATATATATATATACATATATATATATATATATATATATATATATATATATATATATATATATATATATATATATATATATATATATATATATATATATATATATATATATATATATATATATATATATATATATATATATATACATATACAGGTGATAGTTATATTGCAAATATGTGGAGAGAGCACTTTCAAAAATTGTATGACTCAACTAACAATCAAAAATATTACCTCAACTTTATAAAGGAAACGGAACTCTCCACAGAAAACTCTGATATTGTTGTGAGTTCCATTGACATATCTAATACAATAAAAACTCAGAAACTAGGAAAAGCAACTGGACCTGATGACCTTTGTATGGAATTTTTTAGGTATGGTGGAAGTAACTGCAGCTTTTTATTAGTATTTTTTTAAATTTATGCATTAAATATGGTTATTTTTATCCATGTTTTGTGAGACAACAATTATTTCAATAGTGAAATCTAAATTGGCTGATTTAACAGATGTTAACAACTATAAAGCCATAGCTGTTTCCTCTGCTATGTCAAAAATATTTGAGAGTCTTTTATTGCAGAAAATCAATATGTTCAACATTAATAAAAATGATGATTACCAATTTGGCTTTAAACAAAATCACTCAACAACAGCACGCTCCAACTATTTTAAAAATACAGTGCAATACTATACATCTAGAGGAAGCCATGTATTTGCTTGTTTCATAGACTTTAATAAAGCATTTGACAGTGTCAATTACTGGCTGTTGTCTCAGAAATTACTAGGTAATGGGTTACCCAAAAAACTTGTTTGTTTGCTTGCATTTTGATATTGTAATCAACAAATGTCTGTTTGATGGCAGAAAACAAATTCAAATAGTTTTGGAGTTGGAAATGGGGTTAGTCATACTACCTTGACGAACCCCATTTCCAACTCCATATTGTCACCACTTCTATTTAACTTTTACATACACAATCTGATTTTATTAATCTCAAACCTACGTATTGGCTGTAATATAGGTGGCATCTTCATGAATGTGTTGGCTTACGCTGATGATATGGTTGTAATTGCACCATCTTGGTCTCCTCTTCAAAAAATAATGAGCTTTACAAATAAGGAATCTTCCTTAATTAACATATCTTTTAACATAAAGAAAACTGTATGTATGGTGTTTAACCTAACTCAAAAATCAAAAATTATATCAAACTCCTTCCCAGAAATATGCATATTAGGCTGTAAAATTGCTTTATATAATTAAAAATGATCTAACTGATGATCTTGATATAACCAAGGAGATAAAGGGTTTTTACACACATGCAAATATTTTATTTAGACGCTTTCGTTTATGTTCTAGAGTTAAGGTTAAATTAATTAAATCATATTGCATTTGTTTATATGGTGCTCCTCTGTGGCAAAATTATAATGATAAAACAATGGCACGCCTTCAGTATTGCTACAACAAATGCGCTAAAATGATTTTTGGCTACAACAAGTATGATAGTATATCTCTCATGCTTTTAGAGCACAGGTTACCATCTTTTCATACAATTATCTCGAACTACAGACATGCTTTATGTAAACATCAACTGTTTACATAAAGCATGTCTGTAGTTCGAGATAATTGTATTGGCTTGTTCCTTAGTGAATAATTCCATGCGTTCACTTAATCAAAGTTTAAAACAATATTTTACTTGTAAAAACTATGGAACTGGCACCTAAATTGTAAATTTGTCACCTAAATTTATAGTTTCTATAAAAAAAACAATATTTTTACACACATCTTGAAACAATCTTTTTTAAAATGTATAATAAAAATAATTCAACCAACTTAAAGTTGGTTTATATAAGTATAGAAAGTTACTTTTTATAATTAAAAAATCTCTTTAAACTTTTATTTTCATCAATAAAATTCGAATTAGAGAGGTTGTACTTTATATAGTACACAATTTTAAAAAAAGTTATATTATTTTAAACATGCTAGTCTAGCATTTTTTTGTCAATTTGAGCATATATTTGAAATACGTTTATTTTAAAATTGATTTCTTAAAAATCCAGATAACTTAAAACATTTAGAATCATGTTTGTTTATAGTATCAACAAAAGGTTGTATTATAAGTCATTATTGAGAATTATTATTAAATTCCAGTTGTTTACACTCATTGTTGAATTTAACAAAATCAGAAAAAAACTGCACATGTCTAACACTTTACTTTTAATGGTAATATATAGAACTGTACATAAGGCCCACAACTAACGTCTTTAAATGACAAAGAGTCACCTCTTCTGAGAAACTCATAGCACCCTAATCAATGAAATGAAATAGATCTTTGAAACATTATAACAGCTTGCTTGAATAGATACATATATTTCTTGAAAATGTTTTAATACTTTCAGATCTATTATATATTTACTAGTACTATTTATAGAAGTCCTTGAAATGATACAACAGTTGTTGTATTCTAAAATTCTAAAATTTTTTGAATCAAGTTGTAACAACTTGATTCAAAATTTTAGAATTTGATTTGCGTCCTTTTCCTACCTCTCTTAAAGCTAATGCAGATCTTTCAATCAATTTCGTTGTATACTTTTATTTGCAGCAGTTTTTGATAGAAAGAATGGTTAATTAAATACACTGCTTTTAAATAAGCTTGCTTTTAAATTTAAAGTTTAAGATGTGGACAGCATCTTTGTGATAAGTTAATTTGTCAATAAAAAGTCTGTTTCATGAAAAACTTTCTTCACATGACAGAAAAAAGATACACATATAATTTTAAAAATTTGAAGTTTGTAATAAAATTATAATCATTTGGATCCTCTGCAACTTGTTTACGTTTTTAGCACGAGTGTTGGTTGGCTCTAAAATGACACATTCTTATACGTTTGTGGTTTCGCTTGTTACCAATTATTATGGTTGTTAATTAATATTAAACAAATTTGATATACTAAAGCAATTTAAAAAATTAATTTAGTATATTTAATATGCTGAATTCCAAAGCATTCAATGAATGCTTTGGAATAATTTATATACAGTTATTTACTACAGTTTTATTTTAAGCAAAAATATAGAATAAAAATAGAACAACTATAGAATAAAAATAGAGAACTAAATTCTGCATAAATTTATTCAAAAATAACCTTTAAAAGTCTATCTACTACAAAGTATGTTATCTAAATAATTATAAATACGTTATGCTATTAGGTAAGCAGAAGATAGTATGTGTTTTTAATTATGCGAATTTTATTTGTCACGTCTAGCTAAAAAACTTTTCGTCTAGCTAAAAAACTTTTTGTTAAAAAAAAAAAACTGTTAAAAAACTTTGCGTAACTGTTTTCGTTCCTTATTTACACGTGCTCCAAGTTTTATTTGAATGGATGAAGGTAAAGATAAGAATAAGTTTACGTGTTACTCTCGAGTGCCGAACACAGCGGGGGTGGGAATAAACGAGTGGGTGGGAATTTTAATAAACGGGGGGTGGGGGTTAATATACGCGAGGGGAGGAGGAGGTTTTTTCTGAAATTTAATGCGCATTTGACTTGCGGTCAAAAGTGGATTTTCTAACAGCTGTTAGAAAAAAAGAAAAAATCATAATTTCAATAGGATTTAATATGCTGATATAAGTTTTATACTTTGCTAAGTTAAGTTTTATACTTAGCAAAGTATAAAACTTATATCAGCACTAAGATAAGTTTTATACTTAGCAAAGTATAAAACTTATATCAGCATAATAAATCCTATAATTAAAACCAAAGCTTTGTTGAGAAATATACTAAAAGTTCATTTTTAGCAAATCGAGATTTAATAGGTCGACAATTTGTAAAACCTGTTTTTTCTAAAGTTTTTGTTTTTATCGGTGACTGAAAATTATTTTCAAATTTTTAAGGCCGATTTTTACTGATTTTTTTTTTACTTTTGAGATATATAATTTTTTTGTTGATAAACAAGTAAAAATTAATAAACGGAGGGGGGTCTTAATAAGCTTAGGGTGAGTGGGAAAAATATCCAAATATTAATAAACGGGGGGAGGGGGACGTTTATTAGGAACTCGAGAGTAGGGTAAGTTGGGCGGCATCGAGTTTCGTGCAAACAGCCTTTCGCATCAAAAAAATCACACTGACACTATTTTAATCAAAGTGTTGTTTCACGTTTTATTTAGTACAACCCTTCCGCATCCATGGCCTACTTAAAGACAAAATAAATATTCCTAGTAAAAAGGTATTTCTTCTTTTAATTTCAATTATAAAAAATACAAAACTACAAACCTTTGATTTTTTTCAATGAAGAGTTTTAGGCAATCTTAGCAACATGTAAGGTTATTTTTAGTAGCATGTTGGTATGTGGTGATATCTGAAATCTGAAAGCCTATCTGAAAGCCTATTTCAGTATTCTGTGTTATTAGAATAAACTAAAACAGGCGATCAGTTAACAAAAAATCCAGCACAAAATAATGTAAGTACTCAAATAAAATCTAACTATTATTAAACCATTTTAATAAAATAAGAATAAACCAATTATAGTGCAAACAAGACTCATAACCATAACAAAAATTAAGTTTATATATTTGAGCCGTAAAAAAAACAGGCCTCCTAATTTTTTACGGAAAATGCAACAAATCAGGCCTTGTAATTTAAGTAGGCCATGCCGCATCAAGTTACGATACATCGGTTTTTCGTGTAAAGTGAAAAAACGTAAATCTTTTTACACTTAACTTTTATACTTAACTGTACAAAAATGAAGCACGACACTTATTTGAAAGAAATACTAATCGTTTAACCAAGTTTAACAATTATGTTTGGAAAGGTAAATAATAATAATAATAATAATAATAATAATAATAATAATAATAATAATAATAATAATAATAATAATAATAATAATAATAGTAATAATAATAAACAAATACTTTTTTGATGTAAAAAATTTCTGCCCGATTTATCGAAAGCATTATTTTTCGTGCATTATACCCGAAATTTAATTTACACTGTATTAAATTTCGTTCATTATTTTATTTTTACCTAACAATGATTTTGAATGCTTTTATGGTTTTAACTATCTTTAAAAGCATTTTTAAGATTGCTATTGACTTTTTAAGGTTGCTAGTGACGTTTTAAAGGTTGCTAGTGACGTTTTTAAGACAAAACAAAAAAATTAAAGCAACAGCTGAGAAATTATCCGCATGGCTAGATTTCTTTTAACTAAACAATATTTGAATTCAAATTTCAACTTTTTAAAAATATAACATCATTATAGTAGAATATACAAGTTATAATTTTTTAATCAAGTTTGTTATTGTTACTATTATGTTATGGCCGTTGTTGCTGATGTTCGAGAAAATCATTTTTCATGGAGAAAGGCAAGTTTAAAACATAATGTACCTTTTCAGACAATCAGTGATAGAACAAATGGCAGATACGGTTCCGCCATGCAAAAGATAAGTTAGTGTTGTTTAAAATATTTATTTATTTACTGTTGCAATTTTATTGCTGCATAAGCAATAAAATTGCAAAAGATTTTTTAAGAAGTTAACATTTTTTTTTTACTTAAAGGTTGCAAATTTTGTTTAGAAAAGAGGATGAAGAAAGAATAAAAGATTTTTGATTAAGGCAGCAACAATAGGATATGGTATTTGCCAAAACGATGTACCAAGCATAGTAAAAGATCTTTTAGACGTAAAGAAAATCAACATATTACAGAGCATCGACTTAATGATGAAGAAAAAAACGATATGATAGCCCAAAAAAAGTTTGTGAATAATCTGCCAAGCAAGTTTTGGATCTACAGGTAAATAATTGCTTCTCTGTTAAGTGTTTTGAATATATAATATAAAATTTAAAATTTTATATTGTATATAAAATTTAAAGTTTTATATTATATATAAAATTTAAAATTTTATATTATATATAAAGTTTAAAATTTTATATTGTATATAAAATTTAAAGTTTTATATTATATATAAAATTTAAAATTTTATATTATATATAAAATTTTAAATTTTATATTGTATATAAAATTTTAAATTTTATATTATATATAAAATTTTAAATTTTGTATTATATATAAAATTTTAAATTTTGATTGAGGTATGATTGTTTTGAATCTGCTTAATATGTGTTTAATTTGATATACTTTATTTTTTTTACTTTATATTAGATATTTTTTTTACTTTATATTAGGTTTTTTAAAAAGCAATTAGATCTTGCAAGAAGAATGCCTGAAAATTTGAGCCACCAGCGGCGAAACGTTTCTCGTGCTCAAATTAGGCAATGGTTTACTGACCTGGAGAATGAATTGCTTGAAGAACACCAAATAAACGCTTCAGAGTTATTACCAAAAAACTCTAGTAGAATGTTTAATTTGGACAAAACAGAGTTTCAATTAGCAGGGATATTGGGAAGGCTGAAAATAATTGCCTCAAAGGGTATAAAAAATGTTTATCGCATTCTTGGCTGTGGAAACTACCAAAAACCTCTAGTTATATTTCCAGGAGCACAGCCTCGTTACTATTTAGACCATGTAAATCCATCTGACGGATCTTATAATTCTTCTGATTCTTTGACAGAAATGTTTACTTTCTTGAGGTGCTTGAAAAAATCTCCACCCTTAAAAAATTGCTCAGTTTTTATACAGATGCCGTAACACCAAGTGAAGCTGCAACACAAACTACAACTGTTACAGAAGTACAAACCTGCAATAACTATATTTTCGGCACGTATAATAATACTCAAACAAACAAAGCGTGTGTCAAACCTATGCACTACAGAATCCAATAATCTAATCTCTAGAGAATTAAATTTTTCTGGGTATGTTTGACCACCACATCATAACCTAGTTTTAATAACATATCCCTTTAACTATCAGCTTCATCTCATAAGTTTTACGAAAATTGAGAGTATTCTCCATTAAAAAACTCCAATTTCAAAAAATGTAATAATAAGCAGAAAATATCCAAAGAAACTTGTTAAAATGCCACATGCTGTAAGTGGAATCGATTTTTTTAACCACCAACAAGTTCAAGAAAAGAAAAAGAAGCAAAATAAAGAAAAGGAGGAAAGAAAAAAAACGGGAGAAAATACATCGAAAATGAAAAAAAAAAATTGTATCAACGGCTTCTCTCAAAAAAAGTCATATTGCAGAAGACTCTCAACTCGATTCTAGGCCTAATAAATAGCCGCGAGCCCCACGTTATGTTCCAAAAAATAGTTCAACTTTAAGTAAGATATTTAATCACTGTAAAATATTTGCAAAAAACTATATATGAATCAAGTATTGCATCTTGAATAAATCTGCTAAATTTAACTTATAAAAAAAAGTGCACGAAATTAAATTTTACTTCGTCAACTTGCACGAAATTGTGCAAATCATCAGAAAAAATATTCAAAACGAAAAAAAAAAAAAAATAACAGGTAATATTTAATAATTGCCCAAATTATTACTACTTTGTAGATAAAACAGTTGTCTGCCTAAATTGAGCTCATTACACTTTTGGTGACCGTTTGGTTATATTCTATAACGTTTACGGCAAATGTTCAGCAAATTACTTGAATTTCGCCAACATACCCTATAATAATTATATCATTTAGAAATAATATTTTTATAAAATAGATTCAAAAATATAAAAGATTATAAAATTGGTTAAGGTGGCGGACGTGTATTTCAAGCATCTCCTTTAGTAAGTCCGTAAAAAACGCTTCAGGTGAGTTTTCACTCATCCTTTTTTCTACGGGAACGGGAAAAATAATCACGTGAGCATGCGTAGTTTTACTTCGGACAAATTAAAACTTATAATTCGTATGCCCACGTGATTATTTTTCCTTTCCATTTCCCGTTCCCGTGAAAAAACGTGTGGAAATTCACCTTTATACAAAACGAGTATTGTTGAAAACCACACCATAACCAAATCCCAACCCTGAAACTTAAGGTTCGTGTTTTGTTTAGATTAAGCTCCGGGTTTGATTTAGATTTGGCTAAGAGTTTGGTTTAGATATGACTTTCAATTAAACTTTATTTTTGGGTTCAGTGATGTGTCAGAGTATAATTTTCAATAAATGTAATGCGTAAAACGTGGCTCTTTTTATACGGACTTCTAAAGGAAGTGCTAATACACGTCCACCGTTAAGGTAATAAAACTATTTTTTTTAAATGAAAACTATAGTATATGTAACTGTCGATACTTTCGTTTGAGTACTTTCTTTTACAAATAGACAGTCTAATGGAATGAATAAATTTTTTACTAAGTATGTAATAAAAAATTTAGCTCTCGTAGCATTTTTTGTAAATTACATTCTCTTATATTATTTTTTTTTCATCTGAGAATAAGGAAGCATGCTATTCAAAAAGAGGTGTAATAGTTCGTCGCATTGGTTTGTCTAGAAAACTTAACTTGGTCCTCGCTATGGTTCTAAATGGAATTTTTTATATTAGGATAATTTAGAAAAATCTTTTTACTTTTTTTTTACGACGAGTTGTGTGAAAAAATTTATTTTTTACCCAGTCAGTTTTTATATAATACAAGTTATAAAATAAACTTTCATCTTAGCTATTTTAGCTGCATGACAAATAATGCTTTTAGTAAGTTCAAGTTATTTTCAATTTTAATGCCAAATACCTGGGTCAGGTACTTAATAAATTCACAAAATTATACTGTTTTCTTTTCAAACATTTTCCAAAATATATGTTAATAGATGTTGTTCGACACATTTTAAAGCCATTTTTTGTTGTTAACGTTTTCTTTTACTTATATACAAAGTTTTTTTTTTACAAAAAAAAATTGTTCGCTTTATATAGCATATAATACAACTTGTGACTCTTGTCGACAATTAATAAAAAAACGTTATAATAATAGAAAATCAAAGCTTGTGACTTTTGTCAATAATTAGCACGCTTATTATTAATGACACACAACATCCCCCTTAGCTCAACAAGAGCTCATACGTAATCGTTGTACTTCCGATTAGGAAGTACTCTTCTTCCATAGTGAGTGAATTGAACAGGCTGTGACACTCTGTCTCACCATCTGTTGAATAGTTTTGATCGCTGCCCGTACTATTGTCATTTTTACCATTTTCCGGAGGAATTATTTGAAGATTTGGATCATCATTGACAATGTGAGCTCGTTTCGGGAAGTTTAAATAGTGCTGAATCATAATCATCTGTTGTATCTTCTTCTTTTGTGTCTACACGACGATGTAGCAGATGAGAAAAATGTCGTGGAAACGTATGTCCGTTGACATCAACTTCAGCTGTTAAACCATTATGCAATGCCACTATACTTCCTTTCAGCCATCGTTGCGTACACGGCGTTATGTGCTTGGGTTTCACCCACACTTTGTCGCCAACTTTCCATTCACGACACTCTGTTATCGACTTTTGTGTTGATTTGATTTTATCGATTCCAGGAATTCGAACTCGTTTGTGATGTTGGCAAAATATTTCAAAAGATGTGCAGTGTTTTGATGGAACGTTATTGATTAAAAATACAGACATGAGAATACCACATTTTACTCTTGCATTTGTTCTTTTTACCGTCCGATGAACTCTTTCAACTATTCCATTTCCCGATGGTTTTTCAACAGCTCGATAGATGAGCCTTATTTTCCATTTCGCAGCCATAGTTTGCATAAGCTGAGATCTAAATGACTTAGAGTTATCTAGAAGAACTTCAGAAGAAGGTCCAAGTGTTGACCATATTGTTTCTAACGCTTGAACAACCGTAGTTGCACTTTCGTCGCTTAATGGTGTACATAACGTATATCTGCTCGGGCCGCAATCAATACAAGTGAGATATAGCGATAAATCAACATGAGTAACACCGCAGGCTACTCTTTCCCATACTTTGCTAACAGCAAGATTTCCTTTATCCAACAACATCACATTAGGGTCAGTCGAGTTACATTCATCGCATTCAGCGACAACCTGTTTCACTGTGTCTCTGGTAACGTGGATACCAGCGCGCATACATAGCTCCATACTCTTGGAAACTCCCATGTGTGCTAGTGAATGAATTTTTCGAATCTGCTGTTTATCGTACTTATAAATGGTATTACATTCTTGTGTTGCAACTTTGTTTTTTATCCATTTTGTTGGCACTCTTGTGAATTCATCTGCAATATTTTTAGTTGTTGGTACCCATGTAACAATTACATTTATGACATAATCCTCGACCAATTTTTCAAATATTTGAAGTCTTCGTCAAATTAACATTTCGCTTTGCCCAGCACATTTCACAGGTTTGTCACGAGTCAATTCCGAATTTAACCAACTAAATACAATATGAGAATCAGGTTTAATAGAGACATCACTTGGATTCCATTTCAATGCCATGTTTAGACCTTCAATACATGCATCTAATTCGGCCACATTGATATGCATTGCATCAGACTTTGGTCGGAGCCATCTCGCATCTTCTATCTTTCTGTCACCTTGCGTTATCACAACTCCTTTTGCCAGCGAACTTGCATTGCACCTACAGTCAGAGATGCATTTGGTTTAACATTCCATACACCTTTTGCCGGATCGCAATTTACGACTTTATCCACAACTTCCTGCATCATTTTGATAACATACTTATTCGTAATAGGTTCATCCCAACCTGCTTCGTTTGTACATCTTTTTATATAGCTGCATGCCGGTCTCAACCATCCAGCAACTGGTAGATTAGCAATCAGATTACCACATAATGAGAATATATCCCTCTTTGTGAGCACAGATTTAATAATAGGAAGCTCGCGTCCTCTCTTCCAAAACATCTCCTTTGTTAATGGATTTACTGTGACTTCTAATCCTAGTGCACGAACTGGGTTTTCGCCAAAATATTCAGGTGCTTTTGCATGAAGACCCCATTTCTTCATATGTATCACCAGCTTTCTTCCATTTCCATTGGTTGCTAGGGTGTCATCAATGTATCCTCTTGTTGTTTTTGCCAGTGCAGAATCTTGTTGGAGAACATACCGTAATATTGAGCTTATCATCACTGGTGCCAAACTTAAACCGAAGCCCAAACGTGTAAGTGCATATCGCTGATTTTTATAGATGACCGTCTGGTAAGACCAATGCCTTTTATGCACATGAATTTATAAATATGCTCTTCTTAGATCCACTACCGAGTCATTGCTGTTTTTACTCATGAGTCTCCACTCCCTCATTGCATCCTTGATGACATCAGCATCCCTTGTAGAGGCTTTTACATACGTGTTAAGCTCACGATAATCAAGCACAGGTCTTATCTTTTTTTTATTATCTTGAATGACACACATTAGCGGTAGTAGACCTTTAGGTTTTCCCATAATTTTATCGTCATATTTGATGAGTATACCTTCTTTAATCCATTCATTTATTTCGTTGTTAAACGCCTCACAATGTTGGTCAGCTGCATTATACTGACTTGTTCTATTTTTCATTTTAGGTTCGTTTTCCCACTCCCAACTTACAATCCATTTTTTGCCATCAAAATAAGCTTTGCTTGTTCCAATTTCAATTGTCGCAACACGAAGTTTTGATGACAACTCAATCAAAGAATTTTACAATTTCAGTTTTCCAGTGCCAATTTGTAGTCCATCACACGTCTTTATTAAGTCCATACCCATAATCATGTCATATTTGTTTATTACTTCATTCACACTCAGAACCACCACATCCACCAAGCACCCGTTCGTTGGGTGGCATATTTTAGCACTAACTTCTTCGCATCGAATTATTCCGCCCATTGTTGCAACATTTACTACACGAATCACTTTATAGTCAGGCGGCAGTAACTTCTTGGTGATGATTGATTGCGAACAACCAGTATCCACAAGCGCTGTAGCTTTTCTTCCGTTTATTACCAAGTCAATAGTAGGTAGTCTTGTTCCGGGACGAGTTCTTGTAAAGATACCTAATGCGAACTCGTCCCATTTAAGTTTTCCTGGTTTCTTTGACGTTTGTAGCAGTCTTTTGCAGCATATTTATGCAAGCATTTTTTGCATAAAGAGGTACATTCACGTGCAAAGTGATTTAAGGATTCTCAGTTGTAACATCGAATTTCTTTCTTTCGTCGTGTATAACTTGTCGTTCCAGTCGTCCGGTGAATCGCATTTACTTCTTTATTTACAGATAAACATGCCGCATCTAATCTTGTTTGTGCAACCACGGATGCAGTCTTGACACAATCGTCAAAACTCAATGCATCGTCTCCCCGAAGAATGGCACGCAGAATGGCACCATCATTAATGCCAATTATGAATTGGTCACGAAGTCGGCCGTCTCTCTCTGAGGGCAAGAACTTGCAGTCTTGAGCAGCTCGAATCACTCGATGCGTGAACGTCTGTATAGATTCTTCAGTACCTCGGTAAAATTTTCCAAACTCATACCGTGAGATTAACGATGACTTTCTTATTTCCAAAGTTTCCAATTTTGTTACCAATTCTTCGTACGAAACATCCTCTGGAACTTCCGGTGCTGTTAATTCTTCCATGGTCTTGTAAGTCTTTAAAGGCAGAGCGGCAAGCAAAAACGCTACGTGTTGATCTGAAGGTATATTGTTTATTGCAAAGAAGGAAGTCATCTGTCGAATAAATCGCTTTGGCTGTCCATCTTCATATTGCGGAGATAATAGACATGCCCGGTTAGCTTGTTGTTCGACACATTTAAAAGCCATTTTTTGTTGTTAACGTTTTCTTTTACTTATATACAAAGTTTTTTTTTACAAAAAAAAATTGTTCGTTTTATATAGCATATAATACAACTTGTGACTCTTGTCGACAATTAATAAAAAAAACGTTATAATAATAAAAAATCACAACTTGTGACTTTTGTCAATATTTAGCACGCTAATTATTACACACAACAATAGATAAAGATATTTTTCAGTGATAAATAAATGGGTATACGGTTTGTAAACCGTATACCTATTTATTTACTTGCATAGTTTTAGACTATATTTACTAATCAGCCTCAATGTTTTTAAACTATAAAATTATTTATAATGTTATTTATAGCTAACAGAAAAAGCCATACATTTATTTATAATGATGAAAATGAGGCCTTTTATTACATAAAACAACATGAATTAGAGTACATAGTTCGCTATGCAGCATAGTTCACACCCAAAGGGTTTGATAATTCAGGTTAGAACCTTTTTATATTTATTTGATATCAATTATATATGCCTAAGTTAAAGAACTTTGAATTTATTTACTAAGTTTATGTTATAGATAGAGTAAACTATATTACTGAATTAATTTAGCAAGTATTTGAGTTACAAACGTTCTATCGCGGCTTGACGTCACAAGAATTTTTGTGTTTAAAAAAAAAAAGTATTTACTATTA